AATACCCGTGAATCCGGATCCAAATCCGGATAATAGAATTTTTAAAACCGGATACCCGCGGGTACCCGCGTATTATAATTATAAATAATTATATCTTATATTTATATAACATTTTTATAAAATACAATTATTTTAGATGAAATAATTTCATATTTTTTTAATATTAATTCAAAAAAATTAAATTTATTATTATTTGTCTCTTATTATCTCTTTTGTTTTATATATTTTATCATAATTCATCAATTTTTATAAATATATCTTCATGTTTTAAAAATTTTATATATGAATATTGTTGTTTTTCTTAAATAAATCCGGATCCGGATATCCGCGAGTACCCGACTATTATTTCGGATACCCGTACCCCGGATACTCGTAAATACCAAATCCCGGATACAAATCTTATAGTTAAATACCCGAGTCTCCCGGATCCGAATCCAAATCTCTCGATTTTCCCGGGTATCCGACCCGTGCCCACCCCTATCTTCTATACGATGAAACGGCGACGTGTGGGGCGGAGGTGTTGATTGCGCGCGTGTTCCTTTTCTATAGCGCGTGAGTTTGTGGCGGGCCCAATTTCGGCTCTGTTGGACTCGGCTCGGCTCGGCTCAATCTATGAGAACTCTGTCTTATGATCATGGAATTAATTTATTTATTTATTTCAACCGGGAGGTTTACCATATCTTTCTATACGATGAAACGGCGACGTGTGGGGCGGAGGTGTTGATTGCGCGCGTGTTCCTTTTCTATAGCGCGTGAGTTTGTGGCGGGCCCAATTTCGGCTCTGTTGGACTCGGCTCGGCTCGGCTCAATCTATGAGAACTCTGTCTTATGATCATGGAATTAATTTATTTATTTATTTCAACCGGGAGGTTTACCATATCTTCGGCCAAAAAAATATGAACTTTTATCTGTGAAAAAATAAATACCATGGTGAAGTTTTTTTGTTGTTGTTGAAATTATGCAAACTTCAGATTTGAATTCAGCCGTCAACATTTCTTGAAATTAAATAAAGGAACTAAAAGAAAATGGTACTATACAAAATATTTTATTTAAATATTTAAGTTTAATGTTTTACGGCCGTCCTAATTTATTTAAATTATGAAAACATCTCTTTTTTTTTTCTTGCCGGTGTTTTGGGATTAAAATATCCACCAATCAAATCTCTTGAAATAATAAGTTGTCTTCTTCGTATCCGCTCATGGTGCGTGGCCCTAAACGTTCATAATTGTCAAGAAAATGTAAAAAACAATTAAAAAAATATGAAATGATAATAGAAATATTTTTCTATCATATATTTGTAATTTATAAACGATTAAGATATACACAAGACTAATTAAAATATCCGGAAATGGGAAAATTTATTAATAACCCAATAGACTTCGGCTGAAAAAATAGAGAAAATTTAAGAGTGAGCGAACAAATAAAATCTATAATTAGGGAGAGAAAGTAAATAAATGAATTTCCAATTGGGGCTGCTTTCTCTAACGCTTTTATATTAATTACATTTATTAATTAATAAATGCAAACTGTTTAAAAAATATTATGCGTCAATCAGAAGCAAATATAATGAAACCGATTGGGAAATTTCAGAGTCGGGGCTACAATTTCTGCTATGGAATTAAAGAAGACCTGCAGACTGCAAAGATTGCCGCCGTAACATAAATACACATTCACTCACGAAATAAAATAAAATAACCATATATATATATATATATATATATATTGAGACAGAGACAGTGGTATCATCCCCTTCTGTCCGAATTTATTTTCCCAAAATATAAAATATATCAAAATATATGCATTTGGATTAGTGCTATAGAAATTCGTATATGACCGATATCTCCAAATTTCTGATTTTATTTATTTTTATGGATTATAATAATTAATCAAACTAGAAGACATTGGTGCCATTTGATCCAATCGTGTTTTCTTCTCCTGGTTTGAATATTTTCTTATAATTAAGATGCTGCAGAAAAGTTGGAAATATTGTAAAAGACCAAAAGTACAAAAAAAAGAAGGTTACAAAACGTTGTAAATCCAAAAAAGTTATCATTAATACGTCTATTATTTAAAGGATATCCATTAGGTACAGAATTTTATATCGAATATTAAGAAAAACAATAGTCCTGAAATATTTGAATTGAGATATATATATAATATTATTTGAATATCCGGATTCAAATCAATTAATTTTGAATCGAATAAAATAGAAAATAATAAAAGTGATTACATCTTAGGAAAAAACTATAAAAACAAATATGAATAGTATTTGGATAGAAATGAACAAAAAAAACTCATATTAAAGTGGAAATATAGTTTTTTTTATAAAATCAAAATATAAAATGATGGAGTCAAAATTCAATATATGAGACACAAGTTAGAGATACACTAAATAAATTATGGACGGATGATGTGATATTAATTCATGAAGCTCTAAGTAAACTAGCCACCAAATATAAAAAAAAAAAGATGTCACGGTTATTATACACCATTAATTAAGTTGATTAATAACATTAATTGCAACTAAATATGTCTATATGTACATGTGCGACCATTTAGAACAATGATTTTTTAATATCCTGATTTATCAAATGGACAATTACACTTTTTTTTTGCCTCATTATTTCAATTTCCAACTAAAACTTCGAATGGTTTACATTGTATAGGGATACAAACAGGGTAATAATTTTTTTTTTGAATCAAGTTAATGAGACAAATTTATAGGATAATATTCCAAAACACTGGTACAGTGCTAATCATCCGAGTTTATTATGATATGAAGTGTCAGTCTGTTACATATTTGATTAAATTTATATTTTATTTAAATAATTGATTTAATTTTACATTTGGTTAAATTATATATTCGATTTATATATTAAGTAGGTAACGTCACACAATTTCACATTTTTAAACAGTCTTTTTGCTTATTTATAATAAAAGTGGTAACTTTTCTTTCGAGAAAGATGGGAACACAAAAAAAAAAAAAAAAAAAAGCCAAAGCAGCAGTGGGGAGGGACGAGGGAGGGTATATAAAAAAGGAAGACTGAATCTCGAAGCATATTAGCATTTAGGTTTCATTCTTTGTTGATCAGAACAACGTCTCTCTCTCTCTCTCTCTCTCTCTCTCTCGTACTGCCATTTTCACTACCTTCTCAAGAATCGATCCTCTGTGTCGCTGTCTTTCTTTGTTGATCAGAACAACGTCTCTCTCTCTCTCTCTCTCTCTCTCTCTCTCTCTCTGCCATTTTCACTCACTCCTCAAGAATCGAATCCTCTGTGCCCGTGGCTTCTGGGTTCTCTTTCCTCTCTTCTCTGTTTTGTGGAGACAAAAGCTTAGAAGAAAAAAAAACAAGCAATAAGAACTGAATACGAACAATCCGGTCTTATTGGTTCTGTTTCATACCATTCTTCTGTGGGAAAAACACACACACGAACGTAAGTACTCTGTCTGGCTTGTAAAAAAAACAGAGCTTCTGCAGTAGTGTGGAAAAAAAACTAAAGTTTTTCTTTCTTTTTTTGGTCCCAAAGAATTTTCTGATGTTGTCGTCTTAACGAAGAAGAAATAAGAACAGAGCTTTTCGCTGGCTTTCTTGGTCTCTGTAGCCGTGCTCTTCTTCTTCCTTTTCTTTTATCTGTTTTGCTTTGCTTTATTTTATCCATTTTCCTCTGAATCTTGCCTTAATTCTAGATCTCTCAGTCTTCCAGATTCCTTTCCACTCTCGACCAGTTAAGTCTGTCCAAATTTGGGCTTTATCCATCCGCCCTCTTTCTCTCTCTCTCTCTCTCTGTTTGTGATCTTTTCTTTATCTGTTTCATCTTCCTCAAAGTTTTCAAATTTCGAGAAAACAAATAGTGGGTTTGCTCTGAAGCGTCGAGTTTTTTTGTGGGTGTTTCAGATCTAGGGCGGAGACGAGAGATCGAGACAGCAAGGACAATGTCGGGGCCGGTGAAACAAGCCGAGGAGGCGATAGTGCCGAGTGTGAACGACACGGAGAGTGATCAGATCAACAGTAACCATGTCGGAAAAGACGACGAGATCTCTTCCTCCGGCAGTTTCAGCTTCAAGACTTTCCTCTGGCACGGCGGCTCCGTCTGGGACGCCTGGTTCAGCTGCGCCTCTAACCAGGTACATATACACTGATACATCAAACGTTGAACAATTTCTTCACGAATTTATGAGAGAGGGAACTCGAAAATTGGGATTTTGAAGTTGACCCAACAACCAGAAGGTGATTTCTCAGAGACCCATCGAAGGAAATCTGAAAACAAAAATTGGGATTTCAGGTTGCGCAAGTGCTGTTGACGTTGCCGTACTCGTTCAGTCAACTTGGGATGTTGTCGGGAATAGTTCTTCAGATCTTCTACGGATTGGTGGGAAGCTGGACTGCGTATCTCATCAGTGTACTCTACGTCGAGTACCGTACTCGCAAGGAGAAAGAAGGCAAGAGCTTCAAGAACCACGTCATTCAGGTCCGTTTTCATTTTAAAAAAATTGAACTTTCTTTGTTTGTTTTCACTGTCATTTTCTTCACATTCAAATCCTTAATACTCATTTATTAAAAAAAGTCCTTATTGTTTTTTTTTCCTCTCAATATAATTATACGGAGGATCATTAATTCTTTTTCTTGGTATTAACCATTGGATCAATCGATTGATTTAATTTTTTTAAAAAAAATTCGTGTAATAAAAATACAGTGGTTCGAAGTGCTTGATGGATTATTGGGTCCGTATTGGAAAGCAGCAGGGCTTGCCTTCAACTGCACTTTCCTCTTGTTCGGATCTGTCATACAACTCATAGCTTGTGCAAGGTCTTCACAATCTCTCTCTCTCTCTTTAATCCACTTTTAAACGAGTATATTTATTTAAAAAAAGTACGGATTATCATTGAAATGATTAGTGTGTGGATATCAGAAATTATGAGTAATAAATATTTTAATTTGGTGCAGTAACATATACTACATAAACGATCACTTGGACAAGCGTACATGGACGTACATATTCGGTGCCTGTTGCGCCACCACCGTATTTATACCGTCTTTCCACAATTACCGTATCTGGTCATTCCTCGGCCTCGGTATGACCACTTACACCGCCTGGTACCTAGCCATCGCCTCCCTCGTCCATGGCCAGGTACACTGCTCTATCCGTATATGTATTATATATATATCACTTAAAAATATAGAGAGACTAATATATATATATATAGAGAGAGAGATATATATTAGTATATATCTAAATGTTTTCTTATGTGTTTTTAGTAATATGTCACTGTCAATATTTGTGTGTACTTATGTTTAGGGTTTTCTTTTTAGGGTTAGGGGAATATAATTTCATGCGCCTCGACCAAATATATAAAACTAGCTTCTGATTAGAAGTTTTGATGTGTAATCATGGCATGAGATATTTTAAGACCGTTTAATATTCTCTAATCAAAGTGTTAATCCTTGTTTTTTAGCTGTAAAGCTATGTTTTATATTTTACTAACTATAGTAATTTTTTACTTATTTTAATATATTTTAATTTAATTTATATTTATAGGCTGAAGGTGTCACACACTCAGGCCCAACAAAGCTAGTGCTCTATTTTACCGGCGCCACCAACATCTTGTACACATTCGGCGGTCACGCCGTTACTGTGTAAGTTCTTTTTTATTTTTTAATATTATCTACTACACATTTATAATTATTTGATACTTATATCATCAAAATAAAAATACTAGGTATCTTATTTATAATATTTGTTTTAAATATTCGCATTAGTTTTAATAAAAGTAATTTTATATTGAAAAAAGGTTCAAAGAATGATAATCGCTATGATGGAATATTATTAAAATCTGTGTGTTCCTTCACCGCTTCCATTTGCAGCTTTTGCCGGTGATTATATTATAAATGTAAATATTATTATTATCATTATTATTAATTCCTATATTTATTTAAAATAAGACACTTTGCTTGCCATCTAAACAACAGTAATAATTACCCCTATATGTACATTGTTTCTCTCTCTTCGACTTTTGGACTGAAGTTACCATATGCTAGGTAGAATGAAATGTCCATTCTGCCCCTATCGACTGCGACGTGACATTATTCAATTCACATTTACGTATTAATTATTTTTCTAACATGAGAGGTTTTAATTAATTAATTTGTTTATATAAACATTTTTTTGTTAAAATTGGCAGAGAGATAATGCATGCGATGTGGAAGCCACAGAAGTTCAAGTACATATACTTGCTGGCTACGCTCTACGTCTTCACACTAACGCTTCCGTCAGCTTCCGCCGTTTACTGGGCGTTTGGGGATGAGCTTCTCGACCATTCCAACGCTTTCTCTCTCATCCCTCGCTCCGGATGGCGTGACGCCGCCGTTATCCTCATGCTCATTCACTGTTTTGCTTTGCTTTATTTTATCCATTTTCCTCTGAATCTTGCCTTAATTCTAGATCTCTCAGTCTTCCAGATTCCTTTCCACTCTCGACCAGTTAAGTCTGTCCAAATTTGGGCTTTATCCATCCGCCCTCTTTCTCTCTCTCTCTCTCTCTGTTTGTGATCTTTTCTTTATCTGTTTCATCTTCCTCAAAGTTTTCTTCTTCGCTGATGGATCCGGTTAGGAAGCATTGACCCATCTTAGATCTATTCCATACACAGACGCGCGCGCGCGCGCGCGCACACACACATATATATATATATATATGTATGTATATATATAATTCTTGAATATATGCATCGAACTTAGTGAGTTTTTCTTCGATAATTTAATGATATTTTGGGTCAACTCTGGAAATTGGAACATGCCCGGAATGTGAATGAACACAAAGATCAATGAATATACAGAATATTATTAGTCCGGTTTAATAATATTCTGTATATTCATTGATCTTTGTGTTCATTCACATTCATCTTGCTCAACCATATATTAATTACACTTTCACATGTTATACTGCCATATTATACTAAATAATATACTTAATCTCGATGTAATTAACATATATATATATATATATATTGTGCAGTTCATAACGTTTGGATTCGCATGCACACCGCTGTACTTCGTGTGGGAGAAGGTAATAGGGATGCATGATACAAAAAGCATATGTTTAAGGGCTCTGGCTCGTTTGCCTGTGGTGATTCCCATATGGTTCTTAGCCATTATCTTCCCTTTCTTCGGCCCTATCAATTCTGCCGTCGGCGCCCTCCTCGTCAGTTTCACCGTCTATATCATCCCGGCTCTCGCCCACATGCTCACTTACCGATCCTCTTCTGCTCGCGAGGTAAACATATTCTTCCTTCCTTCATCGAATTTGAATATTTCGTTACACATCATGTTTCAATCTTGGTATATGCAATCGTAATTAGAGTTATACATATTGGATACATATTTGGAAGGTAACTATAACGCGCATTGCCGGGGTAACTATACGCTCATGAGCATTTACAATTTTAGTCCGAGGATTTTAAATAGTTTTGACGTATTGGGGGTAGAATTGTAAATAAACTGACGTCCCAGGGGTATAGCCGTCTTTACAAAATAAGTGGGGTTTCCAAGTTCCGTATTTTAAGGTAGATCACACATTTGTGACTGGCCTTCTTTCCAATAATTCGTATATACGTAGTCTCTGTGTGTGCGTATGTATATATATTGTACTTATTTTGTTTTCACGATATATCTACTTATATTTGGACCACAAAATCTCAAAAAGGAAACCATATATATATATATATATATACACATGTGTGTGTGTGTGAGTGTAATATAAATATTAATAATTTCGGATTTCTGGTTAAATGTTCTAGTGAAATGTTAAATTCTCCCGACTAACAATTAGGCAAAGAAACTATTTCCCAAACTCATTATATTTTTTTAAATGTCTTTATACATAGTCCATATATAATTTTAATATAAAAAATATAAAAAGTGAATATATATATATATATATATAGGGAAAATTAGAGGGAGATAGGTATGTGTCTTTATCGGGAAGGGTTTAAAGAAAGGAATGAGATGGACATGTTCCAAAACCCAATCACAGGCACAGCTGTTTCTGTGACATTCATCACTCTTACAATTTATTCAGTGTGTGTTTTGATAAAGACAACTTAGTGTATCTTGTCATTTTCTACCAAACTATTTGACCACACACATACACAATCTCTCTCTCTCTCTCTCTCTCTCTCTCTTTGTATACACACACACACACATATATATATATATATATATATATATATATATAAAAGTAAAGTTTCGTTCTTTTGTATTCTTAATCACCAGTGATCCATATAAATATATATATATATATATATATATATTACACTCTCGTCTCCAATAGGTTTTAACATTTTGCCTTTGTATTAATTGCCATATATGAAGAAAACAATATTGAGCTATTGCTTTGGAGCATAATATAATGTAGACATGTATGATTAGTCGACGTAAAACACGATCTAGAAGCTTACAACCATATATATATATATATATGGTTGTATTTTGTTGGTTATGTATATGTATATATGGGTATATCTTTAATTTGGTTAAAATGAATACAGAATGCGGCGGAGAAGCCACCGCGGTTCATGCCGAGCTGGACGGCAATGTACGTAATAAACGCGTTCATAGTGGTGTGGGTTCTGGTGGTGGGATTCGGGTTCGGAGGATGGGCGAGCGTCACTAATTTCGTCAGGCAAGTCGACACTTTCGGCCTCTTCGCCAAGTGTTACCAATGCAAACCTCCTCCCGGCTCGTCCGTACACCATGCCGGCGGCGGCCATTGATGCTGCCGTGCGTACTTTTGACGAATTTACGAAATTGCCATACTATGTTTCATGCATATTTTTTCTCTCTTTGGGTTTGCTTGTTTCTCGTATACGTGAGGGGGGAAGTAGCGAAAGTAGTGTACTTTGTCCCTTTTGAATGTGATGATTGCGTTTGCTAAGTATTTTTTTTTTTTAATTTTGGCTTTTGTTTTGTATTTTTTTTTCTCTTTCCC